TAAGACAATAAAAAGGTGGTGATGTAACATGGAGAATCAAAGCAATGTGATGACTTTGTAGCAAAACCACGCTCACCAATCACCATCAGTTGTTTCTTCCTATCAACCGTAGATTACTCCGTGTGGTAAATAACCATAAAAAAACAATAATATAAAATCTAACCAAAACCCACTTTTTTTTTTCTCTAATTCTTCCTATCTCTCTCTAACAATTTGGTTAGATATTATATTATATATTTTTTTTGTTATTAAGCAAAATCACCCTTAGAAAATAGTCTTCACAATGCTCTATAAAAAAACTAAATTGGGGGAGAAAATAGGTCATTGTTTGCTCTAAAAAAAGCACCTACATAAAGATTTTATTGTTCCTCTACTGAACTAAGTATTCGGGTCGTCAAATTTAAAATTTATTGATCAAAACTTGAAGTTATTTACAAATGCTACAGAATAACAAATGTGTTAAACCTATAGGAATAGAGCAACACGAGATCATATTGAACGTGATGCAAACCTAACGTCAACGAAGTCTTTCGAATTTGTGTGGTGAATTTTTGTTTAGAGTGATAATCTATTGCGCATAGTTTTGTCTATAATGCGAATAAGATGAGACGAGTCAAGCCAACCTTTTTTTGTCGTCTTGCATTTCTTTCCTCCCAAAGTTTGATATACTGTGGTTTGAAACACCAACCTTAATAAGATGAAGTTGATGTTGTTGTATCTGTTTTTACAAATGGTAAAGAATAACAAATGTGTTAAACCTATAGAAATAGAGCAACAATGGATTATTGTGTAGAGTTTATGGATTTTAATTTAGAAATCTATGAGATTTTAGAAATTCTTATGGATTGTTATTGATTTTTACAAAATATTCTTATGGATTGCTATGGATTTGATATGGATTTGTATTAAAAAAAAAATTCTATATACGGTAATATGTATTTTTATATTTTTATATAAATTATTCAAATAATATGTCTTCTAATATTTTAGAATTCATTTTAGACATGTTTTAGTTTTTTTTTTCTTTTTTCTTAAAGAATATTGAGTTCTTGGTTAACTAGAGGAACATGATAGCATCGAGCAAAGAGAAACTGAGAATAAGAAAAATAAGTAACCAATGATGATGAATATTAGTGATATTTTAGCTCTATTTTTTTTAAAAAATAATGAATTATTGGTTAAATGGAGTAAAGATGATAGCATCTAGTTTTACATGTTTTAAAGATTCTTTTTAATGGGATTTGCATTTTTTATCTGATGACTTGTTTATGTCTCTGGCTCTTGCAAACTCTGGATTTTGCTATGATCTTGTTTAATGACAAGCACAAAGTCTGCCTGCAAGTATTTTGATTTTATTTGTCTTTTCAATGAACTATGAGTTGGTTAGAAAGTTAGGTCACGTATACATTGATTTTTTACTCATTTGTGTTTGCAGTATTCTTTGAATTTGAAGTTTTGTGTTTATGATAGCTCACATGTGTATTTGTGTTTGTGAGTGTTGTTTTTTAGATATATGGATTTGAAGAATCTCATGGATACTCATGGTATTTTGAAAGTTGATTTCTATGAGTAAAAATGTGTAGAATCCATGTCTCAATAACATAAGATTTTAATAGAATTAGAAAATCAATGGTAACTAAATTTTTTCAATAACAAGAGATTTTATTTAGAATTTAAGAATCCACAAACCAATAATAAAAGATTTCATTAAGAATGTCATAATACATATAAACCAATAACAATGGATTCTTATAGTTCTAAAAATCTTTAAAAATCTATTTACCAATAACCCCCCTCTTTTAGAAATAACAAACACCAACCTTAAACCAATAACAATGGATTCTTATAATTCTTATCAATGAATAAGGCCCCTTAGTGGAAAGTGCAAGATTATCTAATCAATCCGGGTTAAAATCTTATTTCGTCGGTCTTCCAAAAATTTCATGTAAATTTGGTGGTTCCAAACAAAATCAACTTTGTGGTCCATTGGTTAATATTTTCCATTGTTATCAACAATTGGCTCCTTTCCCAACCATATATATAAATATATTTGAGGCCTCAAAAATTCAAACTTCTTCATTTTGGATTCATGGAAGGTTTTAGAATTTTAGCATATCCACGTTGGATCTTCAGTATTAAATCCTACTTCATCCGTTAATATTTTTAAATTTAGAATATGACCCGTAATATTAATGAGCAGAATCTTGGTTATACAAATTAATTAACAAGATAAATGCTTATAAATTAGGATCGAGAGAGAATTAAGGTTCAAAAGTGGCATGAGTGATATTTGACTCAAGGGGGAAACCGGAAACGTAATATGTAGTGGACTTTGTTAGGCCATCTACCACTGACTTTTGTTACTTTAATTATAGTGTGTTTTGTATTTTGTTACTTGTTTGTTTTGGAACTCTTCCGCATAGGCACACGAATAGTTTAAAATACAGTATTGTTAGTTCGGTTAAGAACTATTATTTTTTTTCTTAAAGTGATCAAGAACTATTATGCAAGCTTTTACCTTCAAAAACTGAATTTTAAATTAATCCTCTATTTATTCATTCAATTAAACGATAATCATATATACTAGACGAGACAGAGAACAAAATTCATTGTATATAGCACTGAACACAATCATTTTAAAAAATTGGAAGTAATTCCCATGTTGGATAACTCAAAACAGATTAGCTTGAGACCATATTAAGCATATAATTAACTACGTAAAATCATTCTTGTTGAATTGTAGTAATTGAATTATGTAGACTGTATTCACATAATTAACTAGAATGTATTTTAACCCAAAAAAACTACGTAGAATGTATTTACATGCTTTCAATTAAGATTTATTTCCTTGCTTGATCATCGATCGAATTGTATTGTTTGCCTTTTATTTTTGTCAATAACCAAATTTAGATTAAAACAAGGAAAGAGAGAGTCGACCAAAACATAAGAGTAAAATCAAAGAGAACACTATTGAGATTATCTTAAAAGTAAAACACACAAAAAATGTTGAGAACATACGTGACAAAAACGAGAGAAATTTTTATAAAGTAGAGAGATGTAGTGAGAACCGAACACTATGAATACGATATTACTTTACTTTGTCCCTCTTTTTCTATAAACCATCAGTATCCTCTTTTTTTCTGCAAGCCACGTATTTATCATGCATATATATATTTAATGAAATCAAATAAAAAAACAAATTACATTATTCATTCATTTTGATCCTACTTTTTCTTCTCCTTCTCGTCATTCTTCCTTTTTTATGCGCATGGAACCAAACATGCTAAAAAGCCAGGCATTCTCTTCTGCGAACACCAAATTAATATATCAAAGAAACTTTACAAAAAAGTTAACAAAAAGAAAAATCTTTTAAATTAACGAAAGGTAAAACTTTATTAAAAAGTTTGAGGTAGTATCATGTATCA